TAAGAAGGATTCTACTAGGATTCCAGTTAGGTAGGGCAGGATCGCCACTTGTGCACAAGTGCGCTCGGGTATAAAAATCGATATACATATCTATTAAATTTTTACACAACATAGAATAAGAGATAGTGATATACAATGGTGGTGATATACAATTATCATTGAACTTATGTCTGACATACCTTACATGAATCAGATCTGTGGAAATAATGTCAGACCTTACTGCCATGGGCCAAAAATCGATCGATGGTAGTAATTTCACGACATAACTCCCATGGATCCTATGTCACGGCTCGGTGGAAGTTATGTCCTTGGAAGTTATGTCGAAACCCCATAAATTAAAGCTTCAAGATTTGTGGAAAACTTGCGAAAATTAAAAAAAAAAAAAAAAAAATTATCATCAATATTTCAACATTTCTAATGAGAATTTAAGAGAAGGGTATGTAGGTTTATAGCCTATTTAATTCCAGTATATAAAAGTGCAAGTTTCAAGTTGCTTGCTCGTGTCGATTTTCGAGAATTTTTTTGTTAAAAGTGTCTCGCATTTTATTCCATACAAAGGACGTTCTAAAAGTTTTCTATATTGAAGAAAATGCACAATACCGTCAGCAAACGAAATTATGTATTAAAAATCAACGCAAAATTTTAGCAACTTGAAACAAGAATCAAAAATTGTGTACGCCCAAGTATGAAACATATTTTATTTTGCTATATTATATATATTTTTATAAATGCACAGTGTGCTTTTTGAACACTACATGCGAATTAATCATAGAGCTTTCGACAGAAGCAGCATTTTGATATGAAACAAAATGGTTTTGAAAGCTAATGTAATTCCTTTTCTCCGAAAAATATTGCCATTGAGCCACAATTACTCCTTGACCTTAAAAAAATTGGTCAAAAATAGTGTTCTTCGAAAAAACATGCAAAATCCACCGGATTTATTAAAAAAAAGAAATTTTATATTTTTATTACACTAATATTACAGATTTTGAGACGAGCAACGCGATTCCACTGTTCAAAATTCGAAAAAAAATTTAACACCTCAATTGTAAAAATATATTATTTATTATATTTATTTTATTTGTATGCAGCTGTGTATCCTTCACACAATTTTATATCACTCGAAGAACAAGTGCGTTTTAGTGCTATTCAAGACCTTTAATTTGTGTCAAGCCCTTTGTCTCTAAGCCCTTTGAGAGCCAAATTATATTGAAGTAGATAGGACTTACCCCTGATTTTTCGCATTTTTTTTTTGTTTTTGTTTACTAGTTTTTTCCAATAGTAGACATTTATTTTATTTAATAATACATACCTACGAAAACATTCGATCCACTTTAGAAGGTCTAAAAGCTTTATTTTATTTGATGGCAGTTATGAAGGTCTCCTGGCCCAGTGTGCGGCGGTTCAAAACTGTCAAAGAATTCAATAGCATATCGTCGCTTGTCACACAATACCTCGCATCCGTGAGGTGGCATTGAAAACAATTTATTTTGGTTATCCTGTCTCAATGCTTCTCTACTTTACAAATTAAATAGTGGATAATTATAGTAGCAGCTCATATTTAGTACGTTTAGTTGGGAAACCATTCACAAATTTTGAAGAAAATACATTTTTTCGCTCCTTTGTCAAATTTTCGGACTATCTTATACGTGGTATTGCATTTGGCGGATACGAGGTATTGCGCGCCGAGCAATTATCTATTTTGAAGTATACATATCGTCACCAGAAATTCAAAAAAAAAAAAAAACGTAACAAACATCATCGCTGAAATGTAAAAAGTCATAACTAATAAAAAATTCAAAATTCACTTTTTGATTTATATGATGGATTTCATAGAATTACATTTTCCACATAATTTTATGACAAAAAATTTATTAGCCACGACTTTTTCAATTTCAGTTGCGATGTTATTACATTTTTT